AACGAGAAGTCAAACCAATGAAAGTTTGCGATTATAGCCCCCAAAGAAAAGTCAGCAATTGTTAAGTGATTTCCGATCAGATATTTGTTGCGACCGATCAAAGCGTCCAAAACTTTCAAATTGTTGTGAAAAGCGGTCACTTTATCTTCGGGCGGATCCACTCCACTGAAGTGTTTGGCCGTCTGTTGTCACCATAAATATGAATATATTTAATGTAATTAAACTCATTATATGCTATTGTTTACCAAAACTTCTCTAAAGGCAGTCATGAATGTGTTGTCGAAGTTAAGGGAGCGGTCGACCAGAGCTCGCGTTTTAGGATCTTTTGGGTATAGACTGCTTTCCGGTGAGTATTGATTGCACAGGTAGGCCAAAATGGCTCGGCTTTCCCATAGATTAAATCCATTATCACTGATTGCGGGCACTGTATGAGCCGGGTTTATCTATAATTAATTTTTTAATAAATCACTATTGATCTGGGCATTTATATGGCATACCTTTAAGAATTCAGGGGTCATGTGTTCATTTGCCGGTAAATCCAAGTATTTGATGTTAATTGCGATATTCACTGACGCCTGTAGTTGTCGGACAGTCATGAGGGCAGCCCGGGATGGGGTACTGAACTTGTTTACGTATAAATCAATTCCCATTTTATTTTTAACTTCGAAAATACAATACTGTATCTAAATATGAGGTTTTAATAAAAGTCACAACTCTAATGAATAGTCAAATACTAAACCAACTATTTATATACAATCAGACATACAATACAATGTGAAGGACAAGCGATATGATAACTTTTAAATATTGTCTCAATACTACAGACTCTATACAAATGATTATAGTCAGCCTTGTACATTTCCATAAACTTATATTTTACAATATGAGTGTTTACTACTTATTCCTAGTTATCACAATTACCCCTAAATATTGATAATAATGAATTTTCTTGTGATGAAATGCAATTCATTTATAATCAAATATATAATGGTTTTATGTCATTATATATAAATGTTTAATGTATTTAAATTATGTATTAAATTATTAGTAATGATTTTAATGACATTTAAGAATTATTAGTAAAATTATTTGAAGGCTATTTTGACATTGTATGTTGAAAATATAAACTTTCAATACTTTATCCAGGCAGAATAAGCCAATAAACCTATTCACTTTACTGCTCGTCTCTCTCTCTCTCTCTCTCTCTCTCTTTCTCTCTCTCTCTCTTGATTAGACTTTAAACTACAATAAAATGTTAGATAATTGTTATGAAGTGTTTTTGATGGTTAGGTACAAAGTATTGCATATACTGTAAAGTTAGGGACAATTAGATTAAACGAATAAAGAATCGGATAAAATATTATAACAAAATGTGATCGTATTGTGAATTGGATTCTTTTGCAGGTATTATTAAAGTGCATATATTTTTTAAATTGTTAATTTATATAAATTACTTTAAGGTATTGTCAGCAATTAATTAAAATATAAGACAAATAGAGTCGAATACAGCAAACAATTTGTAAAAATAAAGTCTTTATATGTGGGAAACAAAATCACTTATCAAGTAATGGACTAAAAGATCAATGAATTGCATTCAAAGAGATTATAGATGTGATCATTAGTGCAGTTTAAGAGTATATTCATTACAATTCGCATTTAATTAGTATTTCCTTTATAGGGAACAAGACTGAGTCTACAGTCAAGTATTCAAACTACTATTACATTCACGTTAAAGAAGTTGACATTAGAAACAATTTCAATGGATCTCTATTTGTAATGTACAAAGTCATCGATTCACAATTGTATTAATCCCTTAAAAGTTGAATAACATTATGATTAGATTATCTATTATAAGTTTTTCATAGTATTAATTACAAGATCCCAATCCTTGTTTGAAATATCAAAATAAGTCAATTCTGGTGTCAATGATGAGTACCGGCGCTGATAATGAGGACAATGATTGAAATCATAATGAGTTAACTCGAGACCCGAAACCCAGAGAGGAGTAAGGGGTCAGCGATAGTGAGACAATCGGCCACTAAATACTTGTTGTCACCGATCAATGCGTTCAACACTTTCATATGATTTCGACAGACATTCACTTTCTCTTCACTCGGATTCACATCATAGAAGAGTTTTGGGAACTAATAGACAATTATTTATCAATTTTGACTATAAATCATATAATACTCACCAAAACGTCTCTTTAAAACGATGAGAGAGTAATATCCATATTAAGGAACCGATGAACTAATGTCTCTTCCTTGGGATCTTTAGGGTAGAGCTGACTGTCCGGTGCATAACGATTGCACAGATAATACCCCGACTCTCCCACTCCCATTCCCATAAGATAAAGCTATTGACATTGATTGTGGGAACGGTATGACAAGGATTTAACTATAAAATAAACAATTATTACAATTTATAATCTATATAATATAGATAATACCCCGACTCTCCCACTCCCATTCCCATAAGATAAAGCTATTGACATTGATTGTGGGAACGGTATGACAAGGATTTAACTATAAAATAAACAATTATTACAATTTATAATCTATATAATATTTAAACCTTTAAGAAGTACCCAAATATTTAGCTGTCGGACAGTCACTGTATTTATAATAATAGAAATCAATTGTCATTTTGTCAATATAAATATATTTGTTGAATGAATTAATTTCATTAAATGTAACTAAATTAATTTAATTAAGTAGTTTTTATACTGTAATTTATACTGTACTAAATATACCTTGTATAATATGCTGACATTTCAAACAAACAGAATTTATTATATGAATACTGTGTGACAAATAGATAAAAGTAAACTCTTATCAAAATTGTGTGTTTGGTATAAATT